GTATGAATCCGCGAATCCGCCACCCGCTTGCAATTGCATCTTGTTAAGATGCATTTTAATTCCCTCCACGATCTTTCTATATGCTGCGTGTGGTAGCGGATTGCAAACCATGGTTCTTGGTTTGGTGGCCGAACTCCTTCCCACTGCTTATCTAAGCACTCTTGGCTAAATCTGCCAGTCCCTACCCAAATTGGTGGCTCATTTTTTGGAGGCTCTACAAAGTTGATTGAATGGTTTACCACTCCATGACCACTAAAATGAATTAAAAATATCTGTTATATTAAAAAAAAATGTACTGTATAGGTTTCAATCCTGAATATTATGTTTTTTTAAATTGTATTTGGTTATTATTTTAATAAATTTATTTTATTTATTTATTTTCATTTTTATAATACTATAATAGGTAGGTACTTATATATTACTTTATAATATTTACCTAAATACATTACCACATTGACCATAAGCCCTCCACATGTCACTACATATAAATGCATCATGATGAATGTATTTTTGCATCAGCGGAAGGAGCGTGTCAGTTGACCTGTCCGGGACTATAGTACCAAATACTTGTTTGGTAGTACGACTTATACCACCTTAATCATTATATTTCAAACTAGCTGATCCCGTGCACTTCGTCGCCCGTTAAATGGATCAACTCAATACTACCTACTCAAACTTTGTTCAATTCATTAACGTGTATGGTGTTCAAAATTTATCTTATCTTTCCCGTTGCCCTGAATAAAAATTCTGAATCGCAGCAGTACATTATCAGGTAGGCAATCTACCTGCGGTAGATCGCGGACCCCGTGCTGTTTGTACGGAAGTGTATGATTTAACTCTAAAGTATCAAAGTTATACCAAGTTTATTTTGATGTAATACTGTGGATTAATATAATAAATTTGGTTGCTCGTAAAAAATCGCAACTCTTAAAAAAATTATGATTGTTGAACTCCTTTTGGGTGTAATTTTCTGCGGTAAGTGCAACTCTGCCACCCTGGTAAGCATTGTTCAATAATTCGATTTGATGCAAGCTTGTACCTGATCTGCCCGAATAACCAATGGCAACCAATAAATAAATGCTAATTTCTAATGTAGACTGTAACCAATGGCAACTATAAATAAATAAAAATAAAATTTCCAATTTCTATCGTGAATCTCAATGTCCCTGTTTCAGCACCTATTTAAAATGCGAATTTTGGCAAATCCTTTCTTAGCGCACGTCTATATTATAATAGCTATCTGTATGCCAAATTTCAGCCAGATCCGTCCAATGGTTTGAGCTGTGCGTTGATAGCAGTCAATCAGCTTACTGTTTTTTATATACAGATATGGTTGCCATGGTAATATGGACACACAGACACACAGACACACACACTGACATACATTCATTTTTATATATATAGATTTCTGTATTTATTATCTCACAAATTATGATTTATAATTTATGATTTATGATCTTTATTTTCAATTACCAAATAACCACACAGCATTCCATGCCATAACACTCCCGACGTTGTATTTAGCTCTGAACAAATGCGTCTCATCTACTTCCACGATATCGTGTTCATTGCCGATCATTAGGTAGTCATGGTTCATTATTTTAGTGGCTACGTCCCTAAAATATTCAGTATAAGCAACCGCTGTTTCTGTAGAGATATTCACCTAGTATTCAAAAACATATTTATTTATTTATTTTAATTCCACGAAAATAAGTAAATAAATTACTTTATTCACAAAAATATTATCAAATTAAAAATAATAATAATAGTAAAATTATACAATAATAATAATTATTATAGTTATTGACATCTCGCGTTATATCATACGCGCAATTTCAATAAAAAAAAAAAAAATATTTATTTCTTAGGTACCTATCTTTTGCTGGATTAATTACAACTTACAAGTTATAAAATGTTTCTACTTGGTAATTATGTATTATACAAATTAAAATGAATTTACCTCTCGTTAGATCGTTGCTGTGTCCTAGGTTGTGACTTGCTGTGACTACATGGTATTTTTCAATAACGGCATACGAATATAAAACCTCTTAGACGTTTTTCGATATTTCGACATTTTTTCCCAGACCCAAAAGCCAAGGGGGTCCGTGAAAAGTGGTCGGAAAATCGAAAAATCAAAAATCCGACTACAGGATATTTTTCTATAACGGCATACGAATATAAAACCTCTTAGTCTTAGACGTTTTCCGATATTTCGACATTTTTTCCCAGACCCAAAAGCCAAGGGGGTCCGTGAAAAGTGGTCGGAAATTGGAAAAATCAAAATTCCAACTACATGGTATTTTTCTATAACGGCATACAAATATAAAACCTCTTAGACGTTTTTCGATATTTTGACATTTTTTCCCAGATCCAAAAGCTAAGTAGGTCCGTGAAAAACAACATTTAAACTATATTTTTTGGGTGATATAAGTTATGACTTTTCGGGTTCATATAATTATTAGGTGTTTACAACCTGCTCACACTGTTCGTGTTTAGATGATAGATTTCATAATATAGCACTATAGTATACGGTCCTGGTATCTATATTCAATATTGTTATTTGACAAAAATACAAAATTACTTTGTTTTATTTTACTAAATAATAAAGTGTATTATTCTCAAATTCTAAATACAACATTACAGCATCAATGCCTTATAAAATAATCTAAAGTTTAAAATTCCGAATTTGCTCATGACTCACGTCGATTACTAATTTAGTAACTCAGTATAATATTATAAATATCACTTAGAAGAAATATTATGTATACACTATATGCATCATAATAAATGTTAAGATATTATTAATAAATGTTCGTGATGTGTAATCATAGCACATTAGCACGTAAACAAATGTATTTAGGTAGGTTCTGTTAATTTTAATTTTAGAACACACGGTCTATAATCAAACCAGTTTATTTATATATAGACATACATTATTATAATATAAATAAATGACTATAATAAGTTATCACTTTTTCCATCAGTGATACACAGACAGTGTTAGTTGGTGAACTAGTGCGAATACCCATCATAGATTTACCATATCTACTTACATAATATAGCCACATTATAGATCTTCAAAATGGGGAGGCATTCAAGTGTTCCTACTTCCTTGATTAATAATGCTATTATGAAGTACCAAAAAGAAATAGTGGGTGAAAATTATACAAGTAACTAAACAATAATAATTATTATTTTAATATTACATATTTTGTACAATTTGTACACATTTAAAAATATATTTCTATTACATTTTCAATTATATATTCATAAACGGTTTGCTCAATTTAGAAACAAATTCAAAAGTATTATAAAATGTATTGGTACTATTTTGTCAATTTCAAATAAATCTAAAGTAAATTATATCATTTATATCCAGACATTTTAGTTAAATAGTGTTAAATATTGATTTAACAATAATTTATTGGAATTAAATTTAAACAAGACCAAGTCTGTATGCTTTAAAGTAAGTATAATATATTTAATAAAAATAATACTCATAATAAAATACATTATACATATTATACCTATATTCATCATTTTTACAATGGTTGAAACTAAGCTTATGTTGGTTTTGATTATAACGGGTAAATAATATTAAATACCTATATTGGTTTATAATTTATATTATATTATTATGATGAGAAACTTAAAAAAAATAGTTAATTTATAATAGGTATCAAATATCAATCTATCAAGAATAATTAGAAACATTTTTATATTTTAAATTTTAATATATTAGGTAGGTACCTAGGTACATATTTAGGTATATTCTTTATATAATGTACTTTTATGTTTGTTATTCCACTTACGCAGATTTATTTATAAAAATATTTATTAACAAAATTAATAATTTATCAATTTTAAAAAACAAAACGTTTTGTTTGCAAAATAAACAATTAATTAATAATTTGAATACAGTGTAATATTTATTATTTATAAAAGGTATACCATGCAAATCAGCAAAAGTATGGCAAAACATAGCGGACGAGTTGAATGTCCATGGATTTACCACGGCTGCTTCGATATATCTACGAGTTGCTCTAAATCGAAATGACATTACCAATACACTAGGACTAAAACTTAAATCGACAAAAAAACATGTATCAAGAGCTGATGGTATAGTGGAAGGTAATATTATTTAAGATGAAATTCTTGTATGTTGAAAATTTACATAAATATTTAAAGCTCAGTATGATTATTGAAAAATTATCAGTCTTTTGATACATTTTTGGTATAATATTGTAATTTTAAGAACATTATACCCTATTTGTAACTAGTTTCTTGAAATTATGTTTTTTCCAATTTAAGTTAGGCAATTTTTTTATATACTTATTATAAAATAATACATTATCATTATTAGATAAATAATTACAAAACTGAATGCAACCAATATAATATGTAGCAAATTGTTTTTATTGATCAATAGTTTTACAATGAACATTTTATATTTATGAAAAAGTTCTATATCTTTTTTTTTTTGGAGTGCCCATGTGAAATAGTGCACACTTATAAATTTAATGTGTTCTTTAATTTAGTTATAACATTTATTATTTTAATTATTCTTGTTAGATTATGAAAATTTAGATACTGCTGAAGAACAAGGGTACTATAGCTCAGACTATTATGAGCATGATGGTAAATTTGAAAAACTTGATTTTTGTATAACATTTTCACCTGATGAATGGGACTCAATCAAGCCCAGAAGAAAAACGTGCCATGAAAAAAGAGGCATACGAGATTATGATATTTTAACTCCATTCACTTGGAGTAATGTAATTCAAGAGCACTTTTTTTTGCATTCAAGGCTTCCTTGTGCCTTATCATTTAAAAAGGCACAGATTACAGTGACAGGAAAATTCTTTATAACAGTTCGGGGACGTTGTGTGGACTGTGGTTCAATATTTGATGGAATTGTTGAGGATATTCAATCTGAAAATGCAAGGTAATAAAATAATACATGTTAAATATAATGCATTTGCATGAAAATCCGTTACCTCATGGTTTCATCTTTTGGTTATGGGGATCCAACTGTTTCTAGTTCCAGAGTTGAAAGTAATTTTAACCAATTAAAAAATAGACTTTTCAAACAACAAGTAATGCCAATAAGATTGGACAGTTTTATACAAGAAATACTTCCTTATTATAGAGGTGATAATTTATTGCATCAAGGGATGTCCCAGAAGACGACTGATATACATGAAACCTCTCAGAATCCAGAAGCTTTCAATATAGCAAATGATAAACATATTGATGAAGATTCAAATGTTAATATTGAAAACAACTGTATTACTAGTGCTCATTTTGAAGAAAGTCATGGTATTAATTTGAAACAAAATAATGAATTTATAACCTATAACCACCCTATACAATTTAACTCCAGTGTTCATATTAATCATGACTTTAATAATACCTGTAGTCACTCTGAACAGGAATTTGATGCTATAGTTCATACATCAGGACTTGTATCTCCTACTCATAATGCTATTTATTCAAACAGCTTAGTGCTTGATGAACATAGTCATAAATGTTTAATGTGTGCAAATGGACACATACCAACTGGTATGCATCGTTGTCAGTTATGTAAAAAAGCATTACATTTGTTTGGTTGCTCAGTGCCTGCAGATCAAACAGAAGAAGGTTGTGGAGAAGCTCGTATATGCTTGAAATGTAACGACACAAATAAATCAATTGATTTAGAAAATAAAGCAACAGAAAACTGGAAAGGGCAAGGAACACTAAAAGTTTCCCAACCAAAAAAACGTTCAGCTAAATCATACCTCAACAAGCAGCCAGCTTTTGAACATATAATTTTCAATAAAAAGGGACTTTTTAAACCAATTTTTCATCTTAAGAATGGGAGCTCACTTTGTCATAAACCCATTTTAATACCAGGCACAGGAAAATTAGTTTTCAGTAATACATGTTCAGCAGATTCAATTTTATCAATTTTAGCATGCTCAGCTGCTGATAGCAAAGGCTACAAAAAATTATTAACACGCACCAAATTAATAAATAATACATCTAAATTTATTTTAAAAATGATAACTCAATGTAGTTTTAAAAATATTTACAAAGAAAGAGCATTGTTGTTATTAAATCATTTTGAGAATAATATGCAAATGTTGGTTGGAGGATTGAAACAATTGGATATAATTGGAACCATAAAAAATGTAGCAGAGAAGTTATTAGAAGAATTCCCATCTTATCGCCGGATTAATGAGTGTTCAGATTTTATGTGTGAAAATTTTAGTACAGCAGAAACAAGTTCAACAGTCATATCCTTGAATGCATTTGATGGACAGATTGATTTAGAAACAGAAATTCTTCGTTTTTATTCATTAACATGTGAAGTCTGTACAGTTCTTAAGTGTGGTAAAAATAGAAATATTGAGGTAGAACCAACCAGTCATTTATTAATTGAACTAGTATCTGTTCCTTTAGGTAAATTCATTTTGAATACAATGTTTTACACTATATTATGTACCACTGAATATTTATTTTTGTTTACAGACTTACATACATCAGTCAGCTATACTCATGATCAATCAATAGAACAGAATAAAATATATCAAAATTATGCCGGTGTAGTAATAAAAATGTTGGATAGTTTACCTAAAAATATATGCATACATAACAATGATTTCATCCTTCGAGGTATAATTGCATTTAACGCTCCAGAAAAAAGTAGTCTAAGGATAAATTCTGGACATTACATAGGATATGCTCATAGATCAAATGGTGACTGGGAAGTATTTGATGACACAAAAGAAAAAATTATAAAAGTTAGTGAAAAAAAGATGGTAAATGTTGAATTTTTAATATATACAATATAATAAATGAGTATATGTACTTCACAATAAAAATAATTGTTACAGAAATTCAGTGTTATTTATTTATTTATTCAATTAGTGATACACATACTTAATGGTTCTAACATTTATATAAAAATGGGAAGCTTTCCTTGGGCACCCCTGTGCCACAGGTAATTTAATTTTAAAAAGCATAATATATTCCATAAATATAATTCAGCATCATACAAATTTAAAGGAAATAAAATAATATTAATTAATTTGAATTAATTCAACTATTTCATTTGTAATTTATTTACTTTAGCTTTTATAAAAATTAACACAAATATGAAATAATTGTATTTATTGTAATATAAACAGTTAGTTAATAACAAATAAATAATATTAGTAATCTAACCTAACAACCTATCTTTTCAATTTTAATTTAACATACACAATGAGTAGAAAATGTGTTGTTCCTTTTAATGGAATATAAATACTATAAATTTTTGATACTTAATTATTATGATGTTGCATGGACCTACGTATCTATGAAAAATTCAAAATAATATTAAATGAATTAAGAAAAAAAAATGCAATAATAATATAGGTACTTGTATTAAATTGTTTGTAAAGCAGTTAAGTGTATAGCACATTTTTAAGTAGAAACCTTATTACAGAAATAACTAAGTGAAAAATAGTTCAGAAACGTCTAATGTGGGTAAAACTAACATTCAAAACCGAGGAAGAAGTTCTGAAGTTAAGTAAGTATCAAGTGTACCAGATCTGTTGAATGTTAATTCAATGATAAATCATGGTCTATATTTTATAGTATAGACTCTATACACTGATTATACACTATAAAACTAATAACTAATACACATTACTAGTTCATTATACTGCCACCCTTTGTACATAAGCTTAGAATTTTAAATTTTAAAAATTGTTTAGTTGCAAGAATAACTGTTTAATAATTAATCACTAGAATAATCAATGGTTGTAGGAACTTGTAGAGGGCTTAGTAAATATGTAGTACCTACAAATTTCTTGAGATGTAATAACTACTTTTATAACATTCTGGATTCATAAACTTGAAGATTATGGGATTAATAAAGGTATTTACAACTGCTTACTACAAAAATATTTACTATAAAATTGGTTAAACTGGTTAAAGATAGAAAATGATGACTGACTAGGAGTTATGTAGGTGTCAAGATGACTCACAAAAATACATCTTAAATGATAGCCGGATCGATAAAACAAACTATATGTATAGTGCACCAGTTTGGATTTTCTGCTGTTTTTAAGGAATAAATGAAGATTTATTTGTAAACTAAATCAAATGACCAAACATTTTTTTCTAATTCTTATACTAAGAAAGTGAGGTAGGTACATACCAACCAAAAGATGAACCAAAATTATAAATTAAAAAAAACTAATTTAGTATTTTAAAAAAACTATAAATTAAAAGTCTTTTCAAATGATTGTAAAACTGGAACATTGTTATTTATAAGTGTAAAACATACAGTTTTCGATTCCACCGAAACCTCACTATACATTTGAAAAAGTTAATTTTGTTGGTTCCAAAACCAAATCATTTTATTTTGCTCGAAGTAGTTTTAGTTATTATAATTATAAGTAATAATGTAATAATAGTTCTATAATGGAGTTATGCAGTTGATTCTATATCAAAAACGTGATTTTGTTTAAAAACTTGAATATTATACATTTCTTTTAGTGAAATAAAACAAAGTTAGGGGGGACGGTGTAGCCGAGGGGATAAGGCGTCGGTTGCGACGCGCACCGTCGCCGGTTCGAACCCAGCTACCGGTGATTTTTCGCTCAGGGAAAGTCATGATTTCTGTAGCGAAAGGCCGCCATCCCCCCACCGGGGCATGGCAGAAACCTACGGGTGCCCCATTAGAAATTCTGCCACCACAACACACGTGTTTCAACCTTACCGTTCCAAACCCCAAAAAAACCCCACAATCAGCTAATGGCCATAGTCGCCGGGCTTAATAGAGATCAATTAAAAAAAAAAAAAATTGAATATAGGTACCAGGCCCGAATACTATAGTGCTATATTATGAAATCTATCATTTAACCACGAGAGAATATAGGTATAATATGTATAATGTATTTTATTATCAGTATTATTTTTTTTAAATATATTATACTTACTTTAAAGCATACATACTTGGTCTTGTTTAAATTTAATTCCAATAAATTATTGTTAAATCAATATTTAACACTATTTAACTAAAATGTCTGGATATAAATGATATAATTTACTTTAGATTTATTTGAAATTGACAAAATAGTACCAATACATTTTATAATACTTTTGAATTTGTTTCTAAATTGAGCAAACCGTTTATGAATATATAATTGAAAATGTAATAGAAATATATTTTTAAATGTGTACAAATTGTACAAAATATGTAATATTAAAATAATAATTATTATTGTTTAGTTACTTGTATAATTTTCACCCACTATTTCTTTTTGGTACTTCATAATAGCATTATTAATCAAGGAAGTAGGAACACTTGAATGCCTCCCCATTTTGGAGATCTATAATGTGGCTATATTATGTAAGTAGATATGGTAAATCTATGATGGGTATTCGCACTAGTTCACCAACTAACACTGTCTGTGTATCACTGATGGAAAAAGTGATAACTTATTATAGTCATTTATTTATATTATAATAATGTATGTCTATATATAAATAAACTGGTTTGATTATAGACCGTGTGTTCTAAAATTAAAATTAACAGAACCTACCTAAATACATTTGTTTACGTGCTAATGTGCTATGATTACACATCACGAACATTTATTAATAATATCTTAACATTTATTAATAATATCTTAACATTTATTAACATTTATAGTGTATACATAATATTTCTTCTAAGTGATATATATAATATTATACTGAGTTACTAAATTAGTAATCGACGTGAGCCATGAGCAAATTCGGAATTTTAAACTTTAGATTATTTTATAAGGCATTGATGATGTAATGTTGTATTTAGAATTTGAGAATAATACACTTTATTATTTAGTAAAATAAAACAAAGTAATTTTGTATTTTTGTCAAATAACAATATTGAATATAGATACCAGGACCGTATACTATAGTGCTATATTATGAAATCTATCATCTAAACACGAGCAGTGTGAGCAGGTTGTAAACACCTAATAATTATATGAACCCGAAAAGTCATAACTTATATCACCCAAAAATATAGTTTAAATGGTGTAGATCATATCTACGGGCGAATAATCACCTAATCATTAGGTTCTAATGTAATTTGATCTTAAAGTAATTACAATTAAGTGGATAAACCGAAAAATAAAGATTTTTAAAAACACCAAGCACTGCGTGTTCAAAGCAGACGCTAGGTGCCGGGACGACGTTTTTACAGCACCCGGACGGGGGAGTAGATTTTCCGTAAAAAGGAGAAGGGTACAAATTTTTTTAAGGAGGGTTCAAATGGATACAAATCGGTTACAAAAAAATGAGATAGGTAAGGGGGGATTATGATGACTTACGGGTGCCAGGACGACGTACCTCAAGTCACGTGTCTGCAGAAGCAAACCCGTAGCGCCGGAAGCTGATAGCAGCCAGATCCGATCCTCCACGCCTGTCGCCAAGCTAGCGTTTTTCGCGGGTACCCCGTTATTCGAGTGTTTCGCGGATATCTCGACCGGAATTGGTCGGAGAGCTTCGGGAGAACAAATTTGCCACCCCGACGTTTCCCCCAACTTCTCCGGCGACACCTGACCAGACCCCGCTAACCCGGACCAGCCTCCAGGGGCGAAGATAGAGGGATTCCAAAATCGCGGTTCCGGACCTCGAACCAAAGGAAGAAGAGAACTCGCCTACCTCACCAGCGCCCAGGGCCCGGCCCCCGGTGACGCCACGCTTCAACCGGACTCCGAACCAACCACTCTTATCAGACACTAGCCGCTTCGCCCAAAATGTCTGAGCTGAATCCAACCAACGAACCCTTAGTCAAGAAAATGAGGATCACAACGTCCTCGAAGTCCTCAGTAACCTCTTCGGGTAGTTTTGAGCAGCACCAGGCCCACGCCGCCTGGTTGCAGGATCTTTGGACAACACTCAAGGGAGTCACGGCACACCTTATAAATGTACACAGGGATGCCAGGATGATCAATGACCGCGCGTCGGACGATGTTCTGCGGGGAGCAATGGAGAGGATTCTCGATCATAATAACGAGTCGTTTGTATGTTTAAATTCATTACTTAACATTTATGGGGAACTGCTTAATGCGCCCGATTTTAGCGCTCCCCCGACCACCGACAAGTCTGTATCTACATCTGACGCCTCCACGGACATGATCCTGACCCCGGGCCACTGGGATAGTGATGCGGTTATCGAGTCCAAGGCAGCCTCGGCACGCAGGTCAAGGAAACCAAAGGTGGCAGGCAAACAGGCTGCCCGGGATGCCGAAACCGACGCCATGGAAACGGACTGCGAAGAGTGGTCGAAAGTCTAACCTACCGGGACACCATTCTGGCAGTTAAATAGAATAAATAAAAATATTAATTAATATACATTTGATACAAATATATTGTTATGATTTACTCAATTTCAAATAAAAAATAAAAGTATTTTTTTATTTTGATAGTTTTAAACCATTGCATGTAGATTTGGGTAAATATTTAATTTATTTCTATGACGCTGAAAGTTTTCCATTTCCAAAGAGTCTTCATCAAATTCTCGATCATTAGTATGGTTGTATTTATGAGATCGAAGTATTAAGTTATGGGTGATACTTGAAAAAAAATCCTTCTATGAATTTTGCACTCCATCCAAAGGTTTGGTACAAGAAAGTAATATTAATATCCGTGTCGACGACTGTTAATATTAGTTTTATGACAAATAATATTCCCATTAGCCCCGACACAAAAGTTCCACCTATTGTAAACCAACCCCATAATTTAAATAACGTATCTTCAACCATTTGCCCAATTGTATGTTGGTCTATTCAATTTTTAAATTGAATACCTTGGTTTACCGTTTCATATCCCATGGACTGTCTAATTATATTGTTTTTAACGGCGTCCACTTCTTGGGAATATATAATATGTTGTTGAAAAGCTTTCATCGTATCTTTTGTATATAACCTGGAATTCATTAAAAATCTAGGTTTTTGTATGTCCATGTCCACGCTGTATTTGGTTTCAACTTTTGTGGCTTTAATATTTCTCTGACACTTGGGAAAAATCCATACCAATTACCATTTAAATTCAATGCCGGTGGGTATAATGAATTGCAGTTGATTTGCGTTCCATATTTTTGTAAAGAATGTATCTTTGGAGCCATATAGAAGCCATATATAATGTCTCTCAAACAGTACTGACATATGGAATAACTTTTTTGGTATTCGATATTTTTTTTTTTTTTTTTTTATTTGTAGACGCTTGCGCTACATGTTTTATATAAAAAAAAAATTTTTACTTTTTTAATTCTGAAAATAAAAAATTTAAAATTTGATAAAAAATGTATTCAAAAAATTCAAAATAGCCAATTTATAAACCCGATTTTTAGAAAAATTTTGATGGTTTAAATATTTATAAAAGTGTTGCCGTTAATTTTCTACAATTTATTTAGTTTTTGGAAATATGAATAATTCTTTCCTTTATCATACCAAAATAATCAACAATCATCAGTCATCACTGTTACTAGTATTAATGACTATTATCGATTTATTTTGTTTATCGAGTTTTCATATGTTTTCAGTTATCATTTACTAATATCATTGATGACAAATCACAAAATACCTGTTATCAAAATGGCTTATAATGTTATAGTACTTTTATTATGGTTATTGGTAACCATGGGTCTAACATCATGTTGGTGCGTGGAACCGTTGTCATGTTTTTCGTATCATAGGTAACCAAGACCCCTGTCAGCTGATCGAGTTTCGCTTCTATGGTTATTTTATGGTTATGGTTATTATTATTCAAAAATTCTCGTTATTGTGTTATCAATGTACCCACCAATTCACCATTCATCATTTTAACGTCCATCAAATTTGAGGATTTGTTTCATGTGTCCAGTGGAGTGCTTGAAACTGTGAATGCATTATGGATTATTCATGACAAATTTAATTTGTCATGGGATTATTTATGTATTACTCACCAAAACAAAATCAAGTTTAACAGTATCTTACAATGCAAGAGTGACACAAATGTTAAAATCGGTCACATACAGAATAAGGTATCATGTCCACATCCATACGTGGCTTAACTACAGAATATTTTCAAAATAATTTCCACGTGGTTTCAAGAAAAGTTCCACAAATTAAATTGATATACATTTCTAAGAAATTAATCACCATCACGGCATCACTTACAAAAACAAAATTAGTTAAACGAAGTTACCACACTATTGGAGACGTAAGTATACATAATAGTTATTTTTTTCGGTGGTTTTATGATAGGATGTTAACAATTTAAATTATTTTGACAATAACATCAACAAACTATTTATGGGTACTAATAAACTATAATACATTTTATTCTTTGATGAAAAAACTACAAAATTAATGAGCTATGTACTTAAAAATATATTTACCTAAAAATAAATAATTTGAAATTTTTTTTTTTATTAAAGAAATAAATGCTGTTTTCTCCAAAACTCTTTAAATGCGAGTAAATCAATCAATAATAACAGTCGAATTTGAGTATATTGTGACTATATTTCCCAATTGGATCAGCAAATGAAAATTTATATTTTCTGATACATGTTCTGTGTACATTTAAATAAGTATGGAATAAAAAATACTTATGATGTACATTTTTGAACAGACTACACAATACAAAAGTAAGTACGAATATTTTTAACAATAAAATAAATAAATCTAATAATTATATTACCCCTTTTTTACAGTAGCTTTTATGAAACATGAAATATCAAGTTGGACTACCACTTTTGTAAATTATGCAGACGAAAATTTGGTTGTATATTTAAAGTAATTAGGTTAAGTTATTGAATTGTAATAAAATAACTAGGACTCATGAGATTTTTTTACATTTAAAATGGATAATTTAATATTTTTCAATAATGAAACTTCTATGCTATTTTTGAAGAAATGTATAACATGACATACCTACCAGTTTTTTCTCATTCTCAAATTCAGATACATAGTGACTGTTCTCATTTTCAAGCCTTTGGGACTTGGTTTTAATGAATGACAATTCTGTAAATAATTATTTTATGTTCATGTAGCATTGTAGGATTTACACTGTGGTTTAGTATAAAATCATATTTTATACAAAAATCACTTAATGAAAAGTTATCTAAAATATTTAAATTGTACATAGATGACATAAAGTGTCCCGTTAACAAATTTAAGAACTATTTATTAAAAAATTGTAAATTGTAATCTACAGTAGTAAATATAAAAAGTGTAACAGAATGACCTGACAAATAAAAATTAAAAATTGATAATAGGTAGTAAAAACATACGACAAAAGTTATTAAAATGCCATGAATAATAAATAATTTAAGAAATATATTTTATTTATTTATTCCTTAAAAATATTGATATTTAAAAAAATGATTGTAAAAAATAAACTATTTCACTTAAATAAACATTTTTACCTTCAAAATTAGACAAAGTATTAAAAAATGTTAAACTGTACTTGTAGCACGAGCATTTATAAATGATATACATACGTATTATGTATTGATGTATACATATAAAAAAAAGTGGTAAAATATTAATTAGAAGTTAGAACCAAAGTTATTTCATGTGTTAGGTTATTATGTTACACTTTGTTACTACTTATGTTCATTAAATTTTAATTAATTTATGTTGAGTTATGGACATGTCAAGTGTTAATATTTTTTATTAGATGTAAACATACCCAAATTCTGCAAATATTTGCATTACGGAAATTTGTCTATATTCTAATGAAACTATTGATAACTAATGTGTTCATTACCTTTTATAAATTATTAAATTAATGTTCATTATTTAGTTTACACAAGACATTTTGTTTTAGGTTTATAAAACAATTCATTATAACTATAAATGAGAGATTGAGAGGTATCTGAGGTCTAAAACTAAAAAAAAAAAAAATTAAAAAGTACCTATTTGATAAGATTTTTATTTATTCATTATTTTTGGGCCAACATTTAGGAGGTGAATAATGAATGGCTTGTCCTTTCTTCCTGTCATATGTTGGACACCTGGGTATATTCTAAAATATGACAAAAATAAAATAATTATTTTAGTTGAAAGAAATTGTCTGTTAAAATCAAATTTCACATTTTTATTTTACCTTATTTCCACCTTGCCAGTATTCAAACCTAGCTTTAGCTTTCCGAATCGTATATTTGTCCTCTACTGTCTGGTTTTGAATAGATATATTTCCCAGAATGTCCATAAATTTGCTATGCAATGGACACCACCATTCAACACAATTCTAAGAGAAAAAACATAAAAAATACAATGTTATTAACATAATTATAAAATTATGAAAATATTACTTTCTTACTTCACGCATATCAAATGAGTTGTTAGTGCTTTTGTTCTCTTGAGTGGATTCATCCAACTTTAAGTTACTCATTTGGTTGCATACCAATTTTTCCAAAAACCCAACCCTGGACTCTATCATTGTGTCAACTAGCGGCTTTAACTCATCTTTTTTTACATAATAAGACAAGTCAGGTGTAGATGAATTTGGGACTGATTCCTATTAATTATTATTAGATTTAAGTTTATTTAGAATTTTATATATTTATTTAGACTGTTATACATTTATTTAATAAGTAAATTTTTAGGTAAAAATAACTGTTACCGATTTGTTTTTATCATTGACACCACTTTTTTTCTCCTCACATGTCAACAATTTTTGTTTAAGCAAGTTCTAAAAAATAAAAGCAGTAGGTAGAGAAAGAGAGTTCAAACAGCTCATCCTGCTGGCTCATCCCTATACCCGTTTGCTCAACCCACTATACCGTCTGCTCAACCCACTATACCCGTCTGCTCAACCCACTATACCCGTCTGCTCATCCCACTATACCTGTCTGCTCATCCCTATACATTGACGGCTGCTGAACCCACTATATATCACACATGTTAACGATGTACCCCCGCCACCCCACCACCTATGACCACCGCGCGTGGAAAATAATTTAAAAATTTATCCGCCGAACCGGGATTCGAACCCGGTAACTTGCATGATAAGCGACAACCGTACCACTGGGCCGCCTACTCGCATCTGTTTGAGAAGGTATATTCTATCTCATTTAACTGGCGTCCGCGAGGTATAAATTCCCCCGCCACTATACCATTTACCCCCTCCCGATTAACCTGTAGGGACTTTTCGATGTCTCCCCCACCAATTAATATTTAATTTGCTCGTTTATGAACACAACTACACAACATAAATTCAGTCACTCTATATAATCGTTCCAAGTGTTTCGCGTGTGCTTGTCTCATATTCAGTGTTAAAATCATAATTATTTCTCAGTGCGTAAAAT